GGTTATCATGTAGCACACAATTCCACTAGCTCAGTTCTCAATATTGAGCACGCGTAAGCAGTGAATTAGTGGAGCTTCGTTCTACATTGACTAAGTTAGCAGCCAGTGGGACTAGATACCATCGAATCAATGTACTTTCATGAGAGTCGAAGGCAATAAACTGCCAACAAGATGGAAAGTCCCCTGTTAAACTGCAAGTACTAGTGCGCACTCATATTGGCCTAAGTTGAAGAGAAGAAAATGGTAGAGATATTTAGCATGGTGCTCATGAAAGCCATCACTTTATTAACGGAACATTTTGATTCCCTTTTCTATCTCATCCTCCCCTGGCTGTAGTTCACAAAAGGGTCAAGTCAAGTATCTTATTTCGAAACAATCTCTCGAGTCGAACCTCGATACCACATTCTTAAAAAAGATATGGCCATCTCCCGGAATTCCCTAACCAATTCGTGCTTATAATGACACCACTTACTTGCAAGCATCCCTAAATGTGATGGTATTCCAAGTGGTTTATGAAGATCTTGAATTAGTCAACCCCTTGCTTTAAGGTTTTGGATTGAATGTGTAGTGTCTTTAGCATTTTAAATAACCATACTCCACATTAATGAGATTTTGTTGCACACGTTTAACGGATTTTTTATTTACACAAGTAAGTTCTTCTCTTTTCCTTTTTCCTAGTAGAAATTTCTCCACTTCTCGACTTTTGACTTTAATTTGTTTGCTGCATTCAGCTTATGATGCTTGTGGATTATGCTGGTTCTGTTTTCCCAAGCATTGCTCATTCCCCGTGGAATGGTGTCCGCTTGGCAGACTTTGTAATGCCTTTCTTCCTCTTTGTTGTTGGAGTTTCCCTGGCAATTGTAAATAAGGTATCTATACTTTGATCTTCAGATAAAATCATGGACATAAACCTTATCATTATGAAAATTATAGGCTTATGAGTTATGACACATTGTTCCCGGAATTGCATGGTGATATCCTATTCCCTGTGCTGGCAATATCCAGTTAACTAAATCATCTGAGTAAGATCATATTATGCCTGTCATCAGGTGATTGTTGACCTTGAGACAGGCTGAACTTTTTCCTCTTTCGAAACTGCAGATAGTTGTAGACAGAACAAGGGCAACCTTGAAAGTTGTGATTAGGACATTGAAACTATTTCTCCTTGGTGTTTTCCTTCAAGGTAATTTTTGCTCACTGGAATTTGTAACATGAATATTATAATTCACAACTGATGTCAAATTCCTGACAGTAAAACTACAAGCCTGTATATGTCTTTCAAAATGGATCTTCCACTCTTCTTATATTATGGCAAATGAGTGCGTTTTAAATTTGTGGCACAACTAGATAAAATACTACTCCTGGTTCTAGCAAGCAAAACGAAGCTCAATGATGACACATTTTTTCTTCTTGAGAAATTGCCCCTTTAAAAGCCTTCCACGGTGGACATCAGACATCAAGTGAAAGAGAGATGCTTACTCGACAAGAATGTACATAATTAAAGCATGTGACAATGTTCAGAGAGAAGATACTATATTTAAATTCCTGAGAGGTAACGCATCACCGGAAGCAAGTCAAAATTGAAGATTGTAGCCTTGTAGGGTACCAAGTAACATAAGAGAATACATTTTCCAATATATGATTTTTAGCTAGAATTCAAATTGTTGGATTCTTTTTTTACTTTTATGCCTGGAGATCTTTCCTGTTTTGCTCTTGATGACCTTTTCTATAGTTGTCTTCTGATTTCATTTGTAGCATGTTGTTTTCTTGTATGACATATCTATACTTGAGTTCTGTTGGACAACTATTAAATCCGTTTGCTTCGTTTCAGGGGGTTACTTGCATGGGATAACTGGTTTGACCTATGGTGTAGATATTAAAAAAATACGATGGATGGGAATCTTACAGGTACAACTGATACTATTTTTATGACTATTCTGCCACTGTAGTATCAGATGAATAGAATAGCTACATGATTAGTGTCATTTCAGTTTCACCAGCATTGCCAGTCATGCTGATTCTCCGAGAGAAGCGTCCTAACCTGGTTTCCCTGATCTTTATTAAGAGATAGTCTTGTTTAGAAGCGTTTCTAATAACTAGATGGTCAATAAAATAGGCGCAGAATAAAGAACTTATGCATGTAACCTGTTCATATCAATTTCTGGTTCAGAATAATATACATTTCTTTTCATTTATACAGAGGATAGCTGTTGGATATATTGTAGCAGCTTTGTGTGAGATATGGTTTCCATGTCAAGGGATGAAAAGAGTCACCCTTCTCAGCAATTATATTTGGCAATGGTAAGATGACTATATCCCTGATTATTAGGTGTATGTTTTACTCTGTAAAACTGAAGTGGATAACTTTTTTGATTGTGCAATTGTTAGGAGTAATACATATATCTTCTGTTAAAAAATTGAAAACTGAAAAAAAAAAAAATTGATTCCATTTTCCTTTTGATAAAATGCATGCATTCAGATAAACCAAGAGCTTCAACTATATCATATTGTGCTGAGAGCAAAATCTTAGTACCAAGCAGATTATTTTCCTTAATGGAACCATAAGTGCATCATATTATCCCTACTGGGAACTTCATTTAACGATTATGAAAGAACCAACTTCTCGTAAGTAGGGTATTAATCTCCGATAAATTTGATAAACATCTATGCTCATTGCTGGTGGAAGATAAACCCATGAGATATCAGTACGAGGTCTCAACCTAACTATCTGGACCAGGCTCATTGGCTGTTATCAGGTAGATTGAGTAGGCAAAACAAAAGAATTTTTTAAGTTTTAATTGGAAAACTAATATGAGTCCAACTGCAATGATATTCTCATATTCTTATTAGCGATGTTCAGTTTTATAGTATTGTTGTTTGTCCTATATGGTTATCTTTGTCTATAGTTTTACATAACATTTTACTTCATTTTTAGGTGTATCGTGTTCCTATTGTCTGCTATACATGGTGGGTTGTTATATGGTTTGTATGTACCTGATTGGCAATTCAGAGCATTGCAGTCTACAGGCAGCAGCATTTATGAGGTTAGCAGCTGTTTGCTTTCCTTTTCCCCTTAATCTGAACTAGATTCTGAAAACAATTCCAGGTGCTCCAAGCAAAAACATTAAGAATTCAATAGGAGTGTGATCAGTCGTTACCGGTTTGAGTGATATTAGTAATATTTCTCTACCTTTTATTCAGCATGTAAAGGACTTGCTCATAATCGAAAACTCTTTTCATCAGTTGTTATCCTATGGAAGCTTAAAAATGACTGTTACCAGTCAACACTACTTTGTGTGTGATCAGTACTCTTCCCAATTGAGTTAGAGCACTTTTTCCATCAGTAATATATGTAATATAAGATGTTAACTTTTGTCGCCACTTTCAGGTAAAATGTTCTGTTAGAGGTGATCTTGGACCGGCATGTAATTCTGCTGGAATGATTGATCGCTATATTCTTGGAATGGATCACCTCTATGCAAAACCTGTATATAGAAATATGAAGGTAACTTTATACTGGACTGCAAAGCTGGAACGCTTATATCCAGACCTCACAGTTAATCCCTCATGACTAGTATTATTGTTCATAGGAATGCTATGGATCCAACAATTCTAGAGCTTCCACGACTACGCCTTCTTGGTGCCATGCCCCTTTTGATCCTGAAGGCATTTTGAGGTAACAAATCCATCATTATTCTTCACCCTTGGATTCTCTCATGAATTGTACTACTTATTTAGTGATATCATGTTCTTCATTTCATGAATTATCTACTTTGTTGCTTAACACCTTTTACCGTTGGTAATCTTTTTTGCAGTTCACTAACAGCTGCTGCTGCGTGCATCATTGGACTCCAATACGGTCACATACTTGTTAAATTTCAGGTAAGCCATGTGGTAATGCTAGCTGACTGATTTACCTCTGTTAGGTGCTCTATTTTTTTGTCCCAAGCTTTGGAAATGTTAGGAAAGGTTATTTCAGGAGAAGTCGTGGAAATGCTTTAAGCTCTCAAGAAATGATTTTACTTTGTGTTGGTTCCGATTAGATGGCTTTATCNGTCCCGAGCTTTGGAAATGTTAGGAAAGGTTATTTCAGGAGAAGTTGAGGAAATGCTTTAAGCTCTCAAGAAATGATTTCACTTTGTGTTGGTTCCGGTTAGATGGCTTTATCAGTGAAATATATTCTACGTAAGTGCTGGTTTCCTAAAAGAGTTTTCTGGAAAGAAGTACTACAAGAATTGTGTTAGATGATTATGCTTTTAGAATCTTATTGGTCCTGTGGTAATTGGTTATCACTAATAAATTAGCAATATTGGAGAATATCATGATTTCAGAATGAAACGAAATCTGTCACTACTGCTCAGTGATATATATTTAGCTGCAGAGATTGATCCATAATATAACGTGTCGCTGATAGATGTAATTTATATGACTGTTTCAGGATCATAAAGAACGGCTATGCAGTTGGTCTGTCCTCTCACTTTCACTTCTTGTTGTTGGTTTGTTCCTTGCCTTCATAGGTATATCTTTCTTACTTTTAGACAATAATGCATAATCACCTGGACTATCATAGACAAACAAGAAACCTTTGGTTTCCTATTTATGAAATATTACTCTCTATCTTTTACCTTACCATGTTTTAGATCTCCCTTTCTTAAGAATATAAGATTACTTCATGCTCTAGTCGTGCTGATTCCCTTAATCAATGTACTAAATTATCTATTCGATTCAAGAAAAAAATGATTCTAGTCACTATGAAATGTGAGATTAATTTCATTTCCCTTCAGGCGTGCCATTAAACAAGTCGTTATACACGATAAGTTATTTGCTGGTAACCTCAGCTGCTGCTGGAATCACATTCTGTTTGTTATATGTGCTGGTAAGTTTTGAAAATAAAACCCTCTCTCCGGTATCTCTTTGGCTTAATATATCATCACCTATTGCTATCATTCTGATTTAAAATTCGTTTAACAGTCGTGTGATCTTATGAACTTTAGGTGGACATTTATGGTTGGAGGCGCTTGATGTTTGTTCTAGAGTGGATGGGAAAGCATTCTCTTAGTATCTTTATTCTCATAACATCAAATATAGCTGTGATTTTAATTCAAGGATTTTATTGGCGAGATCCACGTAATAACATTGTAAGTGTTGATTTAGTTCACCAATTTTCAAGGAGAAAACATCTATGCCCCTGTTTGATTGATTCTTGTCTAGAAGAATAACTCCAGCCTGCTTTTGCTGAATTCTCTTGAATAGGTTCGTTGGGTTGTGACAAAGTTCGTACAGAAATGATATCCCGGCTCCATGAGTTCCCTCACACAAGTAAGGATATCTTCTTTCTTGTTAAATTGGATCCACTGAAAGCATCAAGTGATTTATATAAAGGAGGATAATAGACAATGCGAGATATATCTATTATCGATTATCTATCCAGTGCTTCAGCTTAGATGCTAAAATAGAGTTGCTATTCCAAAACAAAAACAAAACCTGCTTCAAGATTGTCTCCACAATCCGGATTGTTTATTATCAGTAATATCTACCAAAGAATGGCAAGCCACTTTTTGTTGACACAACTTAAATGTAGAGGTTATATAACGTTACCTGCAAACTCACATAAATTCATGGAAAATTCATAAGTTACTCTCTAAAGTTGTCCGAAAAAGTCATTTACACACCTTAACTTTAGGGACGACCTATCACTCCCTATTCTTGTTTAAAGTGACATTAAACAAACAATGGTTGCTTACACGCACTTATGTGTCTCTTGATTAACAGGTTCCCTCGGGCGGAGCTAGCATATGGTAGTTATGAGTTTGGCTGAAAACTTTTGTCCAAACCCAATATTTGTCTAAAAGATTAATGAAAAATATACAAATTATTAATTTAGAACTAATCATACTATATTATAAGTGTGAAGACTTTTGGGTAAAGTTATTTTACTAAAATATCCTTCAAAAGCTAAACGACCATTTTACCCTTCAGTTTAACGATACTCCTTTCACATTGTTGAATAAAAATGTAAAAATACATTATAATGGATATCAAAGATAAAATTGAGCACATTTATTGTATATACAAGCTTTAGACATTTATCTTTAATGATAATAATCCTACGTTATCTCTCATTCTAATTTATTACTTGTGCAAATTTCTGAAGTTGAGTCATTATTCAATTACGATTCATAAGTACTAGCAAGTCTTTACTACTGCTCGATATGAATATACAAGTAGAATACATAATGTATTTGCCATTTAAATGATTATTGAAGGTTATTAATTATCCATAATTGGCTGCGCACTTGACCATTTAGCTTCTTTATTATACGTTTATATTTATAATTCATTATAGCTCTTTGCTAGATTTGTAGACTATTTCACATCCTTGTTATCTTCTTTTATAGATATTGACTCATGTTATGGAGCATATCGGCAATCTATTTTACAAGGAACAATTTTTGTTGAATTTTAATTAAAAAGTTCAAAGTATGCTGCTCAATGTCTCAAAGGAGCACCCCCATGGTTATTGGTCACAGTGAGAAAGCTACTTATATTAGGTGGAAATGACATACTAAAATATTTTAACCTAGATTCAATTGGATAAGATACGTGTAAATTGGTTTTTTTTTTGGGATCAGATATCCACAAATGATCTTTAGAAAATTATTCATTAATTTTTTTTATTATGAGATAATACACGCGCAATGCGTGTCCCAGTGTTTTGGAAAGCGTTAAGCGCAAAAAAGCGACGAGGCCTCGCTTCACAGAAGCGAGAAGCGAAGCGTTTTTTTTTTCATGTGAAGCGCAATTTAACACAAATAAAAAAATAAAATAGGCATAGATAAATGGCTAAGAACTCATTAAAAATAATATATTAAGCAAATGTTTCAATTCTTGAATCAAGAAGCAAATAATAGATACTACAATTAACAACCAAAAAAAAAACATAACAGTTAATTCACACGAACCAGAAAACATAGCATAAAGCAGACGATAAAGCAGAAAACAGAGCATAAAGCATAAAACAGAGCACAAAGTAGAACAGAAGAAGAAGTCGTTTAGGGCACAAAATCAGCGCTTAAAAAGTGAAAAAAATTGAAAGAAGAAGAGAAGAAGAAGAAGAAGAAGAAGAAGAAGAGAAGGAGAACATAAGAAGAAGAAGAAGTCGTTGAAGAAACTTACCGAGAACTGGAGACTTCGTCGTCGCTGGAGTTCGCTGGAGAAGAAGTCGTTGAAGAGCGTATGTTTATTTGTTAACAGATGGCTTATTTGCCAAATTTTTTTAAAAAAACCCTTAGTAGATGCCTTCTGCTCGCTTAAGCACGCTTTTTTATCGCTTTTCCAACAAGGTGGTTCTCGCTAAAGCGCGAGAAGCGAGCACTTTTTAAATGTGAGTCGCTTTTGTAGCAGAAAAGCGATAGCCCTGTGCCTTGCGTCGCTTCAACGCTTAAAGCGAGAAGCGAGCGCGAACACTGGCGTGTCCAAATACTAGTTAACTTAAAAAAACTAGAATCTCGAACTCATTAGATTCAAATCCTAGCTCCACTTGAGGTTCCTTCTCTGCACAACACAGGTCAAAAATTTCAAGATGCACACCAGTATTTGTGAAGTAATCAGATTCAGGTATCTACATTATTGCTTGTACTAGTGACCCATTTTTCAATGCTAGCAGTTATGGTTATTCAGGTGCTTCAACCTGAGTCCGGAACCTAAATATTATTTTTTTTACTCAAATTACGTTAATAGGTGTTAAAAAAATACATATCTATATATAGCGTGCAATTACAAATTGCTATACCTTAACGGTAACGTTTGTCGTTAAGGTATAGCGTCTTGTATTCATACGCTACACATATAGCGTCCAAAAAAACGCTATACCCTGATTATGGACCCACCAATAATTGACTGACATAATAATAATTTAACTGTGTATAGCGTGTAATTAAAGAACGCTATACGTCAAAATATTTCCGTATCCCGGGCTAGCCATTTCCTATATAAAGTGGTTAGGATTTTAGGAAAATTCGTTCACATAAAATTCTAACTCCCGTTCAATTTTTTCTTGTTGTTAAATTCTGAAGCATTTTTTTCGTAATGTCTGAAGAGCGTAGAATAAGAGTTTCATTATATTGGGGGGTTGAGGTTGTGATGGAGAATAACTCTGTGAGGTATAGTTTATCTCCACAGGGTCATGTTAAATTACCACTTACAATATAAATTGATATTGTTGTTATGCAAAAAAATGGGTGTGAGGAAACGTTCAGTGATACTTAAAGTAACCGAAAGATACCCGTGTTCCGTCACTCCGCAAGGGGCTGCTTTTTACTCGGAGTTAAACATCTACGATGATGAAACTTTGAGGAATTTTCTGAGGACTCCAGATGAATACCTGGAATATCTTGTAATCAAAATGTTGGATATGTACGTCAAGGTCGAAGACGTTCCAAACAATGAGGTTGTCGGACAGGTTCCGGATAACCCCCAGTCATCGGGTGGCTACTCTGGTGGCTACTCTGGAAGACGTTCCGGATGAAAGAGTTTTTCTTGATTTAAACTTATCCCCGCCTGCTTTACATAATTCACAAGACGAGTGGTAAGCTTCAATTGTCCTTTGTGTTACGATGTACATTTTTGTTGTATTGAATTTGTATTAACGCTCATATATTTAACAGGGGTACAAGCCGGATATGAATTTTACAAATTATGAACCCAAGCATAGTTTTGGTGTGTTGGATCATGGTGGTCCATCCGGGAGCCATCACCTAAATGAAAATATCCATCATGGAATTTCATCACATCACGACTTGTAAGTGAAGTGATACAACTATATGGAAAGTATTTATTAAATCCAATATCTTATTATTTTGTTGATTGTGCAGTGAAAACGAGCAAGTTGAACCAAATGTAATCACTCAATTGCCTGAAGACGATGTATTAAATTGGGATTTGGCAGATGCACAGAGTAAGGAAGAGAACAGTGATTACGACAACAATGCTGATGAATCTGGAGACGAGACACCCTTTCCTTGTGAGGATGGTGATGAGGAGGATGAGAAGGAAGGACCTGATTTGACGAGAGAGTATGCTCCACTCCTCCCCCCTTAGACGAAGAGTGTACGAGTCCCAAATGCCGTTTCATTCAAGGGAGATTCCTTACCTTGATAACTTGCCAAGCATGCCGGATTTGGAAGCTCTCACAAGGGATTTTGATGAAATTCGGACAACAATGTGGGATGAGTCTAGACCAATGGTGCTGACAAAGGGCATACTTTTTCCTGATAAAGCGCGCCTAAGCAGAGCCTGTAAAATGCACAACGTAAAAGAGTGTCGTGAGATGACGGTATGAGAGTCAAGTCCGGGTGTATACAAGGTTGTTTGTCGCAGGTGGTTTGGGCCATGTCATTGGATGTTGCGTGCGAGCAAGAAGAAGACAGGTCGGCCGGTGCCCACTATGTAAATCTCGGGTCGGCCGATCCTCATCAACAGTAGGCGGGCCTAGAAGGTATGTACCCAATCCACTCCAGAAAAATGCGTGCCCGTGATCAATAATTGACCTGACGGGGTCACCTGCGAAGTCCCTAGAGTGAGATCCATCCCAAGGCTCATGTCCGTCTCATGTAGGCCACCCGGCAGATCAGCATCAACATAATCAGCAGGGGCCTCAATGCCCCCTTGCTGGGGACCACCTCATCTCTGCCCATCGCCGCCTCGTCGGGCACCCCCGCCTCATCAGGCACCACCACCTCATCGGGCACCTCTACCTCGTCGGGCACCACCACCTCGTGCCACACTAGGGCCTTGCTCGTACTGCTCTGGCTCCACATAATCAGGCATGTGTGCCAAACGCTGATCCTCCCGAGCTCGCTGTAGTGTCCGGGCTGCCAACTCTACAAATCGACGGCTGTAATCCTGCAAGGCGTCTGCAGGATCGTCGACATAATCTTGCATTTGCAGTCCCATCTGATACACTGTATGTAGTCCAATAGCCTGCACAACATATAAAAACACAACATATAAAATATAAACTACATATACTGCACTAAAATAAAACATATTATAATGAATAATAACAGAAAACATACTAGCGCCTCGTGTCGCCCGGTGTATGGAACGTACCGATCGCCAGCCTAATGAATAGGGTTCCCGATAAAAATTCGGGTAACGTGCCGGTACCAAGACATATACCTCTGAATAGCCACCTCCTGGATCTGTGTAGGTGGGGGCAGAATCATTTGATCTCGATGGTCCCAAATATGGATCTGCGCCGCTAACCATGCCATAAATGCGTCGTCCGCCCTACAACGATCATCCCTCTGATAATGTGTAGGCTCCCATATAGGCCCCCTCGGTATATACTGCGGGCGGCCAAACTGCCGAAGTACCCGCTCCGAGGCATGATGCTCCACAATATCGAGGCATATGAGGGGGGCAGAAGTGCTCCAAATCAATCGGCCGGCCGAGCAATAAGCTGACAGAGAAGCTATCAAATCGTCGCTATATGGCGTCCAGATGAACTATCAAATAAGAACATGAAACGTGAGTATGTGCAACACTAAGTTAATCTACACCAGGTAAGTTTAGGTACATATTTACCTGTGCGCCCTCCAGCAGATCTAACACATCCCTGCAGAGGGAGAGATTATGATGAGCATCATACTCTCGTGAAAGTGTACGGCGGAGAACCCACCTCCTGGCTAGAGGGAGAAACGGAGGTGCTACATTAGGAGGTAATTGTGGTCGAGGTGGCTGAAACTGCAAGAACCGCTCCCAGTCCCAAACGTAACATACAAAGTTGACGTAAGGTTTAAGATAAATTCTAACTAGGTAGAGTTGGAACTGATGAAAAGATTATTTCAATATGTTGTCACCTGTAGAAGCGAAATAAAACCACAAACATCTCTCTGAGTGCCCATGCTTGCCCGTCACATCTGCCTATACATGTAGCCGAAAATAGCAACACCCCAGCTGTAATAGGGTAACTCATCTAGCAGCTAAAGATGATGCAAAAGTCTCAGGCTGACTAGGTTCCCAAAGTGTTCGGGAACAAGACCCCTCCAGATAGAAGAAGCAACAACAACCTCGTATATCGGGTGATATGTACCTCCTTTGTATCGTCGGTGATATCGGAGTGGAGTACCTCCAGGTACTGTCTAATAGGGGTCAAAGTCAACCGACTAGCACCCGACGATGCAATCTCGTCCTGTGGCCTGAAACCCGTGAGCTGCTGCAGCATGTCCAAATAAGCATCACGCGACATATATCTCATAGCAATAGGCAGTGAAACGACCATGCCATCAACGGGCAGGCCATATAAAACCTCTACGTCCTGCAGCGTGATGGTAGCCTCGCCAATGGGCAGGTGAAAATTGTGCGTCTCCGGTCGCCACCGCTCAATCAACGCCGTGATCAAAGCCCAATCAACCTGTATCCGCCCGATCTCAATAATCCTATAGAATCCCATATCCTGGAGGGGATGGACTACACGCTCGTGGAGATCGCTGTGCCTACGAAAATCCTACAGGTCGTCTACTCTCCTAGTGCGGAGAGCTTGGGACAGTAACTCTCCCTCCCATATATGGGCGGACCTATGATCGCCCTGAAGCACTAATATTTCACGAGAGTAAGGGTCGGGATGTATAGGCGCGTCCATGTCGTCAATTGTAAATTAAACAATATTAATTGTATTTTTAATTATTTGATTGTACAAAGTATGTATAACAATGGGTTCCAGGCTCGATATTTGTGGCCCAGTGTAGCACCAAACTATCATTAATATTTATGCGTGTCAAATTCAATTTTTTGATTATTTTGTGTGTGTTTGTTTTATAATTTTAATTCTTAATTTTTAATTATTTGATTGTACAAAGTATATATAACTATTGGGTTCCAGGCTCGATATTGAGGCCTGGTAGTACCAAACTATCATTAATATTTATGCATGTCAAATTCAATTTTTTGATTATTTTTTGTGTGTGTGTTTTATAATTTAAATTCTTAATTTTTAATTATTTGATTGTACAAAGTATATATAACTATTGGGTTTCAGGCTCGATATTTGAGGCCCAATAGCACCAAACTATCACGAATAATTATCTGTGTCAAATTCAATATTTTGATTATTTAATTGTACAAAGTATATATTTTCATCTACCAGTATAAGAAATACTTAAACTACAGGGATTCTACGCTAAAATACTATATAGTTTACTACGCTAAAAGTTTCTACATTTTACTATGCTAAAAGTTTCTATATTTTACTACGCTAATAAATAAACTAAATATAAACAACAAATACATTTTAATCACATAACATCCACAAAAATACATATAACATACTAGTTTCGCAAATAAAACACAAAAACGACATGGAAACATTAATATCTAAATTCGGATATTAACATAAAAAATTAAATCTCAATTTGACTTTTTTTTAGAACACTAATATCTAAGTCCGGATAAATATAACATACTAGTTTCGCAAATAAAACACAAAACGACATGGAAACACATTCAATAGGTAGTGATATACATTATTATACAAGTTTGGACATAAAATAAATCGAAATACCTCAATGTAGTGAGTGTTTTGTGTGAAAATTTGAAGACGAAGGAGTTAAACCACTATAATACAATGCCCTACTATGATGTGGGACCTACGTTTTTAACCTTTTGTGTGGAGGGGGCCACAATTTTTTTTTTAAGATCGAGCATTGGGGNAGTAACAAGACGCTATATATGACAGTCAAATCGTTAGGCGATATAGCGTGCAATTACAACACGCTATTCCTTAACGACAAAAGTTACCGTTAAGGTATAACGTTTTGTAATTGCACGCTATATATAGATATGTATTTTTTTTAACACCTATTAACGTAATTTGAGTCAAAAAAAAATAATATTTAGGTTACGGACTCGCTTCAACCTGGTCTCCATTTTGCAGTACTTGTACCTGTAACTTTTGTGTAGAAAGGATATTGATTGAGACTAATCTAAGATGCCCTGCTACTGAGATGATGAAGCAGTGCAGCAGCAAGCGTCTATAACTTTACACAGTGACAGAAATATTTTCTCATGTAGTGATAAATGATGACAGATTTGTCTATTAGATGAACAGGGGAAGTACTTCTTGCTGCCTAACTAATGCAGTAGCTCAAATGCGTTATCTTTGTAATTAAAAAGGGCAGCCCGATGCACAAAGTATCCCGCGTTCACGCAGGGTTCGGGGAAAGGCCGCATCTCACGGGGGTATGATATAGGCAGCCTATCCTGATGCAAACATCATCATCCACGGCTCGAACCCGTGACGTATAGGTCACGCGAAGACAACTTGACCATTGCTCCAAGGCTCCCCTTCTATCATTGTAATTGATCCAGTAAGCATGCAGCCACGTTAAGGCGCTATTGTTTTTAGTCTCTATTTTACTTGCAGATTTTGCACTTCTAGAGCTTGTCACTGATGTTTTCTTCTTTTTTTACAACTGTGCTGTTCGGGCCAGTTTGTAAGCATGCAGCCACGTTAAGGCGCTATTGTTTGTAGTCTCTATTTTACTTACAAATTTTGCATTTCTAAAGCTTGCCACGGATGATTTTTTTTCTTTTTTGTACAACTGTGTTGTTCGGGCCAATTTGTGTATATCTCGACTAATTTTAGGAAATACCTGCTACCTCCCACCAACCACCGATATTTTGGAACTATACTTATCTAAATCCCCAATCATTTTAAGTCAAGTCAAGACCTTTCATGATATCTCTACGCCAATCTCCTTCTACTTTGAATGAGGTTGGATTTTTTAATTTACAGGTCAGGTTCTAGATTAGTGTGTTTATTTGGGTCAGGGAGCATTTTTTAGTTTATAATATTTTTTTAATAGATAGGATGATTTCTGGCCAAACCTTCACCGTTTTTGGCCTAAATAATTTTTTTTTTTTTGGATATTTATAGTGAAAATTGAGTGATTTTGTGGTTGGAAAAAATAGTTTGATATATAATTTTCTTGCAATTATCTTGTAAACTAGTAAAGTAACCCGCGCTTCGCGCAGTTGTGAAACACTAATGAATTTTAAAATAATTTAATCAAGATAGAAGAGAATTTTTTTTTATGTATATCCATACAATTAAAAATTCTATGTCTTGGTGATATTACAAATTAAAATATTTTTATTAGGATTAGAGCTTAGGTGACCTGATTTCATTATAAAAATTTCTTTGAAAATGAAAGGAAAAAAACAGAAAAGAACTTTAAAGGAAAATTTTCAGCTTTATATAGTGGTCGTAATGCGCGATTCTCTAAGTGTACTATATAAATGTAGGTATTTATATTGTTCCTCTTATTAGATGGTAAAAACACATATTATTAACCCTTACCTTAATACTCCTTTGGACTATGTTTCTTAATTCTTTATCACAAATAAATAATCTTCCTTTCTAATTAAAAAAAAAAAGGAAAAACCAAATTAAAAACAGAGTTGCAGAGTTACAAATTCTTTCTCAAGGATTCAAACAATTTTTTTCTCCTCCTTCTTTCCCATCTGTTTTTGCTTTTTTTTCCACGCTCATCTGAAACAAAAACAAAAATTACATCATTTTTAGAATTTTACAACACCGAATGCGGCTGATATTTTGATAATCACATGATTAAGTTTATTTAACATATTTTACCATCTTTTATCTTAACCTTGATTTCATCAACCTTGGCAGAGGTACAATGTTGTTATTGTAGTATCCATAAGTTGTTGATAACAAAACAAATCATTTGATTGTTTCGCTCCTACTCTTCCTTGTTTACTCAAAATTTTATCTTTCACCGTGTCTTCGCGTCCTCATTCCCAAGTTTTGGCATATCATACTAGATTTTGTAGCTCTTATCATCGTCATTCATCTACCCATAAATTACAAGGGGTTCATGTTATTATATAATTTAATTTGATAAATAATATAAAAAATACAATTTGAACTAACCTTTTATTTTTGGTTAGGTAGCCACAACCCTGTAGCCCTTGTCAATGTTGAGTTCCAAATTTGGTGACCAGATTCTTGATATGAGCTATCTCTTTTCTCCTCTGAGAAAGATGGATTCCACTTCAAAGCACTGGGCTATAATTAATACAGAACTATGAGATGATGATAACAAACATAAGAAATCAAAATTTCAAATTTAATTCACAAAACGAACATGGATGTAGTTTCCGAGGAACAGGAGCATGATGTACTCCATTACACTCGCAAAAAACTACATATTCAAAATGAGTTATAAGTAAATAGACCAAAATAATATAAATACTATTTAAAATCTTAACCGGAATAGTAAATTTCCACAAAAATAAAAAGTGCTTTGTGCAACCAACTTTATATTACTACTGAATGTACGAATAATACAAAGCTTTATGAATGGAATGGGAGGTTACATAAGTAATGATCAGGTGCGAGCAAGAAGAGGAACAGAGGGACAAGGTTATTAATAACATAACATAATAAACGAATGGAGGTAATGGACTTGAAAAGTTATAACCCCCAATGGAGAGGTGTGAGTGAGTTATGGCATTATGGTGTGAAAATTTTAAAATAATTAAAATGGAAAAATTGAAAGGAAAATGTCAAAAAAAAAATGAGAAAAAAGATAAAAGAGGATTCCTACACTATAGAGATGCCACATCACCTCTCTCATGCCCCTCCTTTATATATATATAGACTCGTGATTTTGTCCGCGCTTCGCGCTGTCATTAAATTTTTTTCTTACCTTCAACACTATACATAGAACTATGAAGAACTATACATAGGTAACACTATGACTATGTTATTTTCTATTGAAAGTTCTCCTACACATCCAACATAGAACTTCATCAACTAAAAAAAGATGGCCAGGAAGAGAGTATCGTCAAAAGTTTAAACTGAAAGTCTAATCATCAATCTCTTTGAGAAATAATTGAAAAGTTTATAAAAGGAGAAAGTGAGGAGATATAGGTTCCGTAGGAGTTACTGTAGACAATAAATTTGCGTCGAGAAAATAAGATCAAGACCGAAAAAATATCGCAACAATCTTAGTATATTTGAGTGTTACAATCTCTATGAATCCCCTGATTCTACTTTTCAATAGTAAATAAATTCAAGGGCCTTTGAGCTTGATCTTGAATATGTATTTGTTGCCACGAACGATGATCTTGTTCTTGAGCTTGAACTTGACCTTGATTTGTTCTTCGTTCTTGAACTTGCACTTGATTTCTTGAACTTGAACTTGAAGCCTGAAACTTGTAAAGAAATTTGCGGCGTTTGATCCACGAGCTCTCTCTTGCTTCTTGTTATAACTTCTGGTCTCTTTTCTGAGTTATGAAGACCCCTATTTATAGTTGTGGAAGGGAAGAGTTGTGATAAGAACAAACTCTTTCTGACCAATCAAATTGAAGTGTGACATGACTGCATTTGATTGGCCAGAACATGTCACTTGCACACGTGGCGCGATTTCATTGGCCTTTTAGCGTGACTGGACATGCCTTGTCATTTTGACACGTGGCATGATCCCATTGGTTCTTCCGTTTGACTTGGCGCGCCACGTCATTTGACATGTGGCACCAAACTGGGCCTCTAGGAAGATGACATCTTGGGCTTAATGAAGTGGGCTCGTCACTTTAGCCCAATTAAATGGGCTAGCCCAATAATATTGGTCTTATATAATTAATCCAATTATATTAGCCCATAAATATTTATTTGGACTAGTATATTTAAATATA